TCTAAAACATAAAGCAGCACGAGTCAGATCAAATGCTCCCGCTTAGCCTCAGTATCTTCTCTGAGCAAACAGCTTCAAACGTAACGCAGCCTACATTTGAAATGTAGGCTATGCAAATAAGCCAAAGTGTTAAGTGCACAAACCACGCTGTAATTGCTGCGCTCATCTGACAGATCTTAGATTACTGTATGAGCTTTTGTAGGACTGTGGGTAACCTATCACTATGTTATCGATAACCTGGAAGGGTAGAGGGCTACTAACCTCAGTTATACTCCTCTGGGGAATAATCTCTTCTGCAGTAACACACACAAAGTAGTTTTCCTGTTTGTAGATTTAGCTGTAGCATGGATAAGCAGGACCCATTATCTTTTGCATGCCAAGTAACCAGCAGAGGTCTTGCAGAAGTTAATCTGATGTGGTGACATGGAGCACATTACCAGCCCTCTTTCTTCTGTTGTATCCAGACATCACACTTTGACAAATACTGCCTAACATGCCTTAGTTTGGTACAGTATTTTTGCAATTTATTATAAAATTACTTTATCAATCACAATATTTATCAAACATACTCTAATTTTGTCATGTGGAACATAAAATGTCATGTGGATAAAGTTTTAAAATCTAAAATTCTTTAGTTTAGTTCCTTTTATTCTGAAGAGCCACATTAAATGTGCTTGAGTTTGTGAATTTTACAGCTGTTATCACTGTAAATATCCACTGTTATAAAGCAATAACACTTGTGGCTTGTAGGTCGCAGTGCAAAACTAAGCAAATCTAAGATTCTACTCTGACCTAATTGATTGTGAACTACAGATGAAGTAGACAGACCTACTCCATCATGGTAAACTACTGTCTGAGACATGTCATTTCTTTTATTCTTCATTTTAGTGAAAGAAACAGGAGCATTTACAATGTGGATGTAACCAGCAGTGAGCTTTTGAACTTGAACTACCTGATACCAGCAATAACTAGACAAAAACAGCATTGTTGTCATCGCAAGATGTATATTCAGCCACCAGTAAAGGATTAAATGATGCCCATAGCAGAAAGTGAAGTTTAGTTCATTGGGATTCACCCGGACACTTCATCTACCCTCTCTTCCTGCGAGGCTTGCATGTCTCTCTGAAGCTTCCCTCTGCCTTTGCACCGAAGGCACAGTGAGCGCTACCATAATATGATAATCGAAACTATAATTGGATATGGTTTATACAGTAGTATTTGACCAGTGCTGTGATTATTTGATTCTATCATCTCAAATTCCTTCCTTCCTTCCATGTTGCAGAATGATACATTCTTTTCTGATCTTGAAAGACTCATCCACAAATCCCACTAAATGGTAATGAAATTGCATTTTCATATTGCAAAAATTCATATTGTAAAAAAAACCTGTATGATATTTCTGTTGATGGAATGAAAGCTTGGCTTTGCTGAGATGTAACCCAAAGGGAATCTCTAGCAGATAAAAAAAAATTGGATTGCAAAGGCCTTACTGCCCTAAAATGAGAAAAGATGCTGAAATATCTGAAACCTTTATATTATAGCCACAAAATAGATAGAAACAAGACTAGAAGGCTACTGCCATGCTAATAGCTCAGTGGTTTATTGAGCTAAATGGTAGCCTCAACATGACAGTGCTAACATGGGTGTTTATGGGTATCATGTTTACCATCTTCACAGTCTCAGGACATTCAAGCGCTAACGTGTGCTGATTAACACTACGCACAACTAAACGATGTGCAGCTGGGGCTGATGGGAACGCAATTATTTGTGCCCCTATTTGATTACAAACCAAGTAATAGGCAAATTCAATTTATAACACTAAATGATTATTGAAGGGCTCGCTGAGGGGGACAACACTGGCATGTGATGCAAAAAAGTAACACACACACATAAATAAAATGCACATTACAAGACTACAACATTGCTTTTTAGGAACCTTACTGATGAAGGTTATACAGACATGCAGTAGACTTCATTTACAAAGCTATCTTTCCCACTTTGCCCAGAACAGTAGTAAATTTTAGACAGGGCTTATTACAAAATGTCACCACAGAGATATGGTCTGATATTTATAGGATTCATTATATAAACTTGATCACTGACAGCAGGCTATGGATAATAGTAAATCATGCTCCTCCTCACTGCAGCTGCTGTTTCTCCTGTCAGCTCCTGATCTGAGCTTTTACTTCCTTAGAAAGTGATCAGCCTTGAGTATTACTAAGCAGTTTTTAAGTAAATAGCACATATTTAGTAGAATATGGAATTAAGAAAATGTTGCAACAGTCACTGCTACAGGTTGTGAGACAGGATCAGATAAAAGCAGACAGAGCAGGTATAGGTTCAGTACTTTTAAAGGACACGACAACAACACGTGGTTGTGACGGGCCATACACCAGTCGTAGCACAAAGCCTGTGACCTTTCGTTTTATTGTTGCCATCCCAGATTGTTTCTTTCAGATTATGAAACACCTGCTCTTCTCACAGAGCAGACTGTAAATGTTAATCCAGGTGAGAGGTATAATCTTTTGTTTGTTTCACCTGCTAAATCTGTCAGACTCTACAAAAGTAAGGTAAAAAGTCCAACACGGACTGAAGCAGCAATTTAAACCTATAACCCATGTTAGGGAGTTGGCCAAAACAATAAACCTATGTTTATTATCCAAAGAAAGAAACCTTTGGATATTTGATAATACAACTGACATTAAGTGACCAATTCTGGCTCCTTTTGTGGCAGCATGGTGGCTCAGGTTAGCTCTGTCACCTCAGTGGATGAGTTCATCTTGCTGGACCATGCATGTTTCTGTGTTCAAAGCCCTATGGGGCTAGATTAATCATGACTCTTAAATGGTCATATGTTAATGTTTGTCTGTCCGTGTGTGGACAGCTGATCTATATTTACTCTCTGTCAGCCTAATGTCTGCTGGGGTCACAATTATGGTCACACATAAGGAATTCATAAGCATAGAAAGATAAATTAGTGGCAGCTGCTGTCTTAAACTCATTCAGGGACTGAATCAGAAAACTAAGAGACCTGGATACAATAGAGATGCCCTGAAATGATAGCATCTAAGAGGACAATAATAGTGTTTTCTTATGCTTTAAAGGCTTTGTCTTGCTATAGTAGCTGTCTCACTTACAGGAACATTTTAACACTTTTCCATATTAACTGCGCCTCAAAACGCACCTCTGTGTTTGTAGCATTTCACCTGCTCGTGCTGTTGTAACACTTGCATGCCTGCAAAGCAGGAGACAAATGTATAATGTCAAAAACAAAATGCATTAGATTATTCCAATGTTTAAATATATACTGCTCAAAAAAATAAAGGGAACACAACATAAGACATCCTAGATCTGAATGAATGAAATATTCTTATTACATATCTTGTTCATTGCATAGTTGAATGTCTTATTTTTCCTTGTGTCCCCTTTATTTTTTTTAGCAGTGTATTTAAAATCCCAGACATTTACTAACACTGATTTTATTCTGTTTAGGTAAAGCACTTTATACAACACCATATAGTGTTTATTAACACTATATGGCCCAATGAAAATAATTTCTAAGCTAAATTTGTTTTATAAAGAAAATATAATGGTGATTTATTAAAACAATCACAAAGGCCACCTGCTGGTGTAAATAAAGGAATTTAAAGGACATTGTCTTCTAATAATCATCAGGTTCTCCATTTGAGGGAACATTGTCATAGAACAGCCATATTACTTTCCAACCAACGGGTCGACATTACAGGGGTTGTCAGGACAACCAGCCATGATTCACAGAGCCTCAGATAGGCCTCCACCTTGGGCTAGAAGTACTAGCCATGAGTCTGAGCAGATGCTGTGCCAGTCAGCCAATCGCAGGTGAGACAGCGGAAAAAGATGACATCATAGGCAAATTAGGGCAAATGTAATAACTATTTTGGTTGCTGTTCCCGCCTGCTTATCATTCTGAAGTCTGTAGGTGGCACATAAATCCTAAAATTTACTTATTTCATTCTGTTCCATTTCATTCTTTTATTTATTTCATGTTTTAGATTACTTCCAAATTTTGTCCAAACCCGTCGAAATAATAACAATTCAAAAACAAAGATGATATTTGTATTTTACTGCAAACCTATTCTATCTATCTATCTATCTATCTATCTATCTATCTATCTATCGATCTATAAAGCAGCTGTTATGAAGGCGAGTGAACATCTGTCACTTATAACAGACATTTAAAATACACTGTTTATCAAGTAGTCAAAACTTATTATATGGGTGAAACTATAGCTTTACAGTAAATTAACAGCACCACATCTACAGAAATGAGCAGTGGTGCACAGAACATGCATTTCCAGTTTAACAGTGACTAACATCATGATCCTATATGTAACTGAGTTGCTCATAGTTTTCTGAATTTCAGTGATATCCCCCTATATCAACATGACACCAGTGTAGCCAGTGGGGTGTGTCTGTTCAGATATACCTGCACCAGCAGTGATCACCTTCAAAATAAAGAAAACAGCTAGAGCCAGAGTTGGCAGAAGTTGATTGCTCTGTATTCATCTTGAGAACCAAAATCATTGTCAGTGAAGTAATCCCTGTTTGTACATAAGATAAAATAGTTCCAAGTTATTACATATTTGTTCTTTATCTGTGCTTTGTTAAAGTGTTTTAAAGGAGCCGGTGCATCAAACACAGTCCTTCAATGCCTTTGTCATTTCAAATTACCCACATAAAAGCTCACCACTGCAAAGCTTGTTCTTGATAAATTTGCAGTTATGTTAAGTGTAACCAGCCTCTTTGTAGTATTAAGAACACTGCCTTAAAAATTTGCAACAGAAAAGCTCTTGAAATGGATATATAATCCCTCCCTCCTGACATTCTCACTCAGCAGGCTTGGTCTTTCAAACAAAAAACCACCCCTGCCTGTCCGTTGGCTGCCTCCGCCTCCAGACCTGCTGCCTGTATTAATATTCAGCCTCTCAGCCAATGGAAAAAGCCAGGTGGATGACATCATGAGCTAGGGAACAGTGAGCAGCCAGTGAAGCATCCAGCCTGCCGAACAAGCTTGCTTTTAGGGTCAGGAACTGGTCTGACAAGAGAATGGCAATCCTGCCTTTAAACTGTCATTAGGACTGTATGGTTGACGATGAATCCACCACAGCTCCAGGCCCAAAGGCGAAACACTGAGCAAGAGAATGTGAAGACATATTTCAGGTAATTCCCTCTCTGTGTATGCAGTAGGGGATGTGGTGAGGCAGAGGAGGGAGGAGGGGACTGGGGGAGCGGGGGGAGACTGTGTATGTAGGGGTGCTTTGTAGCCTTTATTCCCTTCTTCCACTCTGCATTCTGCACTGCTAAGCAGGCAGCTGTTTCATCCACATTCAGAGTGTGAGGGCAAGGAAATGGATGACTGTATCAGATGGGCTGGACATGTTTTGTATGATCATATAGCCCCCCCTCTGCATCACAGCATCTCTGTATGCACACCCTTGTGCCTCAGAAATAGCATCTTTAATGATGGGGGGTGGTGTTAGAATCAGTGGCGGCGATTGTATGGGCCTTGTATGTGTATGATGTGTGTGTGTGTGTGTGTGTCGGATGAAGCAGCTCAAGAGGCAACACTGGAGCAAAAAAGGAAGCAACGCTATTTTGGGTCTGTGGACCCGAGGCTGATGGATGGATGTGAACTGTATATGCTGTGGATGGGGGGGGTGCGGGGTGGGGGGTGATGATGGATGCTTAATATGCTGATGGAGGCTCTTTTGTTATTTCTGCACTGCTTCTCTTGTGGCCTTTCTAGGGAGGATTTCATGAAGTTGCATTTATTTCCATTTCTATCTTCTAGTGGCCACAAACAGCCGAGACACCCCCTGACTTTAACATGGTTGTGTGTAGCAGTTTCATGGCGGCTGTAGTGACAGGGAGATATACAACATCTAGTCACCTGACTTCAATAGGGATCAGAGTGGGGGTGGGGGTCGGCCCTGTGAGAGCTGAGCTATATTCTTCCACAGCCATCGGTGGCGGAGGAGGATGGAAGGATTGGATACAAGCTGTGTGTGATGTGTGTCTTGCCATCACCTCTGCTCATCTTTAGAGTGCAGTGTCAGAACCAACATAGAGGGAGTGAGAGATTCCTCTCCCAGGGAAGCGCAGTCATCCTCCAGTTTGTGAGAAGCAGGGCCTGATGGGAGACCTGTTGGCTGGCTGTCGTGTGAAAGAGCGATGTTGGGGAGTCATGTCAGTGCATTAGAGAGGGTGGGATGATTGTAGAGGGAAATTGGGGGATGGGATGCTGAAGATGCTCCTCCTTTTTGAACATGTTATATTTATGTAAATGTGATACATGCTCCTCATCTCATCACATATCTGTCTGTCCAGATGTTCAACACCATGTCAGCTCTCCATTTGTGTTTCACCATGTTCATCTGAGGGTTGCAGTGTACTGCTATATGTATTTTATGAAAATATTAAGTGGCTAAAACAAACTCATGACTATTACTTAATACATTTTCAGGTTAGCAACATAATTTTACTATATAAACTACTACTTTTACCTAAAACCCACTGGGAATTTTGTCAGTTCACAATACAACGCAGCATTCTTGGCAGAGAAGCCACCAGGCCGACAGTTGTAATTTAATGCAGTGTCACAATCAAAAGGCAGAGAGACAATGAGACAGAAATACTGTGATTGTGTAGAAGTGTGTGGTATTTATACATCCTGCTGTTCAACTGATCTGTGAAACTGTCAATGGATAACTAGTCTGAGACGCTATGCTCCACATGTCACATGCATTATATAGTCATCACACCTTTATCTGCCCAGATCCATTACAGGCTGATGGAACATTAAAGGTCTGTATGGGTTTGTGCAGGGATGCCTATCGAAGGTATTCATACATACATCATTTAGGCTATTCTTTCTGTATAGGTTACCTGCACCTCATGAAAATTGCATATGTGCAACGAAACAACACAGACAGAAGCTTTTGCGAGTCAAAATGTGATAATGTGACCCCTGGTAAACTGGGGGGGTTAAAAAAAAGTAAAACTGCACCTTCCAGAATACTGTTTACAATACAAGCATGTATTCTGCAGGCAAAATTCCAAGCTGATTGTTTTCACAACTGACCCTCATGAAATGTTTTCACAGCTGAGCCTTAGGACTGAACTGCAGTAACTTTCATTTTCATTAATCATATAATTTCAGTTATAATTAAATTTCACTCAGTGTTACATAAAATAGAATTGCAAGACTGAAATGAGAGAAACAAATAACTGACTAAATCATCACAAAAAAAGAGATCGTTTGTATATACCATGTTAAACAAGGGGATGGCTGTACTTGCTTCACCAAAGATGTGACATTTTGCTAAAAAAATTATTTCTTTTATTCTCACTTGATTTGTCAAGTAGGTATTTTGTGCAGTGCTAAAAAGCATACGTATTATTGAGGAACCTACCAGGACTTCCTTATCACCTAGCCACTCGGATGTCTCCTTTTCCTTTGTTTTATTTATGTTTTTAATAGATCATCTGTCCAGTCTTGAGTGACCAAAATGAAACAGTAAATATTTAATCTGCCATCATAAACTGTCCTGTGCCATTATTTAACATGGTCACAGGCAGCAAATGATAAAAACCGCACTCTGTTTCTGTACTGAATCCATGTCAAACATGTCTTTTTTCAGTACATCTGCCTGCTTGTCTCCGTGTGTTTTAGTGTGCCACTCTGGGCTTCCCCTTGTTTTTCCATTTGTCAGTGTAACCCAACACACACAGTTTCTCTTACCTCACCCCAGTTAACAAAAGCAGTCGACACAGAACCTCATCTTGGCCTGTAGCCTGCTAACTGGACTGCTTGAAATATGATAGTAGGACACACACAACACATAGACGTAGGCCTCCATCTGTTGATGACTTAGTCTGGGTGAGTTATGCTGCTATTGTTGGGCCTAGTTATCGTTTGGGACTTTTGCTGACAGCTTATGAATACAAAGTGGCCTCATGCTTGTTTGTGTTTAAGGGCATGGCTGTCAAGAGTAGAGCAGTAGTCTTATGGTAGGTGTGTCAGAGCTACAGTCTGTGTGTCATGGATTAGCATGTAGGATTGCAAGCCATCTGGCCATTTTGTCTTAGAAAGAGGAGGGGGAGTAAGTGAGAGATGGATGAAGAGAGACAGGGAGAGGGAGAGAAACAGAGGAAACGCTCACACACTGACACATTGACACAACTCCCTCTGTAATCTCCCTACTTGATGTTGGTTGCTACTTAGAATAGGGTTCCTTGTCTGTGTGTCTGTGTTTATCTGCCATCTGATGGTGTGCACTATAAGTACAGAAAGGCTTTGTGGGACTCATCTTGTTTCTTATGTATCAAATAGCCAATAAATAAATTAAACATTATCTTGGCGTGATTTAAGATTCAAGGAAGAATGAGGTGTTAAAGCCATTTTAGCATTATGATAGCCTGGGTGAAGACGCTTCAGATGGATCAACACTGTGGAGAGTAAAAGGATGAAATGTTGCAGAGGAGGCGCAGAGTTCAGGAGATTTAAGTGATTAACAAATTTTACTGGGTCACAAGTTTGCCAAGAGTTGCAGAGGGCTGCCTGAACTTGAATGAGTTTGAAGATGGACCAGCTGCAAAATGTAAAACATTAGAGGCCATCAAGTGGGAAGAGTTTTCGGAAAATAAAAGGACTGCTGTTTGACCTGAGATGTGGTTCACAAGGTGACTGTTTCCTGTGTACTTCCATAAGAGGTAATACTCTGAGTGTCAGTAATGTAATAAGATTATACATCAATGATGCTCAAGGTGTCAAAGCGGAAGAAAAACCCAGGCTTAGTTTTGATGCAAATGTATAGGAAAGCTGCAGTTTCTTTTCTTTATTATTTATTATTTATTAAGGTGCAACATGCTGCCTCTCAGTTGATTCACATGTTGACAAAAATGTTCTCATGGTAGCCTTTATCTATACAAAGTTAAAATTTGGCAGAGGAGATGCCAGTTGTAAGAGTGAGAGAACAGTAAGATCTCAAAAATCTCAAAACAACTGACCTTGCTGTAAGGAGTAAGAACATGCACAGATCTACATGCTGTTTTCACCCTTGCTGTGTTTCCTTGAAATGGGTGCACCAGCTGGCATGGCAAAAGGGAATTCACTCCCCTCTCTGCCTCCAGCTGGCACTCAAGCATACCCACCTATGCAGCCTTACTTTTGGTGCTCGCAGCTTCACTGAATGTGAAGAAGGTCGGGGCAAAAGACTATGGTGCAATCAGCCTGTTAATCGCAGTAATATGAAATCAAACCTAGCAGGCCTGTCCCATGGTTGCTAAGTCCTTGTGCAATACAAGTTGAAGGTAAGGTGTGTAATTAAAACGATAAGGTGTAATATCTGAAACTCTGTGGTGCTCACAGTGAGGGTCGGCTGAGAGTATGTCAGTGTGAAGGGCAGTCAAATTACGCACAGAGAACACCAACATCCTTTGCTTGTCATCTTGAAAATCAATATATATTATGACCCCTTACAGTGTATTTATTTCATTGATGTATTCATGGATTGCAACCACCAACATGGGGCATGGCAATGAGGGTTACTTGGAATGTCAGAAGTGTAAAATGTTTTCAGCCCAGGTTTATACGTGTAGTTTATATTTGCAGTGTCTTCAGTTTGATGTCCCTTCTGTTTCCTGAAATGTCTCCACTTCCAACTATAACACTAACATAAAAAAATGTGGTCAGGCTGTGGAGTAGAATATTAATGTGCCGTTTTTCAAGATGGACCATCAGATGTGCTTGAAAATAAGGCAGCTCATTCTGTCATGGGCAATAGAAAAGCTATTATAATGTACTAGTATAGTAAATTGGCTTTGCATGTCAGAATACATGCATGTCAATTATACAGAAACATGCTTTAAATGAAATCAGGCCTTTTCTGAAACACAAAGTTATATACATTAGCTTTAAAATATTGGAACGAATTTAATCAATAGCGTTTGACCACTTGACAAAATGAGCTACCATACTTGTAAGCACATTTATACTACTGGTAGACCATTTTGTTGGAAACGTCTCACCTGACAGAATAAGCTGCTTCACTTTAAAGTGCTTTTATTCCACCCACAGCTCAAACTGCCAAAACATAGTGCACAGCAGTTTTGTCAGCTGTGACCGATCAATAGTGTTATTTCATGCTTTTAATTTAATG